AGAGAGAGAGAGAGAGAAGGTACCTCGGCATAGCCCCCAAGCGGCCCAACCTGCCTGTTTCGTTTTTTGTGTGTATGTTTTGTTGTTCTGTTCATCTGGTTTCAAACCTGGGTGCATATTTCAATAGTTAGAGGGTCCACCAACTGAGGTAGTCAAGTCTTCCTCTTTTACTCCACCAACTGAGGTAGTCAAGTCTTCCTCTTTTACTCCGGATGGCCGTCCTCCCTCTCCTCTTCCAGTTCGTTCCTTCCTGCCTCCAGTTCTTCATTCATCTCCTTTCGGATGTTGTACACAGAAGATTAGCATTTGGAAAAGAGAAAAAAAAAACTCTGATCAGCCGAAATGCAGGTGGTGCGTTGAAAAAAAAACGCATCGGCCGCACAATGCCGCCCAGATGCGTGTCAACTATCAAGTAGCGATGGCGGCGATGATCACCTTCCCTTTCCCTTTGTGGACCTCCTCCCACCACTACCTACCCATTCTCTCCATCATGCCACCACTTCTCCTTCTTTTATACTTGACCTCCTCTTTCCCCTCTTCCCATTCGTTCACCTCCTCGTCCTTCCCTTCGTCATCCCTCTCCTCCTTCGGGCACTCCCCCTCCCATTTATTCTCTCTCTCTTTTTTTTTTTTTTTTCCCCCCCCTCTTCCCACTGCTTCTCATCATAGTCCTCATCCCATTCATCAACCTCCAGCTGTCTCTTTTCGTTTTCCTCCTCTCTCTGCTCCCCCGGGTCATCACTCTCTTGGTCCCGCCGTTCATGCCGCCCATCCTCCCCTCCCTCTTACCACTCGCGCTGCATCCTCTCCCGCGTCATCACCCTCTTCCCCCCAACCACTCGGCGGGATTGAAGGTGTGGAGGCGGGGCGGGAGCCCGGTCATGGCGCTCCTCTCCTCTCCTCTCCTCTCTTCCTGTCCCTCCTGCTCCCGCTTCCCCAACCTGTCGCTCATCGTCTTACCTGTCCTCCTCCTCATGCTTTTCATTCGTCCCGCTAGTCCCACCCCTCCTCCTGGCGCGCGTCATGCCCGTCTTCCCGCCGGTCATCTTCCCTCTCATTGCGCTCTTCCTCCCGCCACCCCTCTCCCTCCCGTYCGTTGTCCTCCCCCCGTCCCGTTCATTTTCTCGGGACAACGGGGGGGAAGAAGGTGAAGGCGGGGCAGAAGCCTGGTCATCCCGGGTCTTCCTTTCCTCTGGCCGCTCGTCGTCCTTCCCCTCTCCATTTTAGTCCTCATGCTGCTCCTCCCTTTCGTCATTTTGTTCGTTCGGCAGCCAGTTTTCCTTCAAGTTGTGCCGCTCCTCACAGTTCCTACTTGACACCTTTCCCCTTCCTGTCAATGTCATCGTCCTCACCCCTCCCTTTTCTTCCCTCACCTTGTCTGTCGCGCTATAGCCCTGTATTTGGAACTAC